AATTTATGTGTATACGGGCCGCCGGAGAAAATCAATTCTAAATTTTAAAAAAATGCAAGCCCCGCTTGAGTTGTCGTATAAAAATCTCGAGCCCTGCTCTGAAGTTCACAAAAAAAGTTGCTGGTAAAAAAGCTACCGTCAGTATACAAAGAAAGCTTATTCTTTCTGTTGAAAACAGGTGGACTAGTGCACTTTTTATGTTATTTAATAGCTACGTTTTTATACTGATTATACACCATCAGAAGAAATCGCTAAAGTATGCAAAAGTCTAACACTGCGACCTCTACGGGTCCGAACTTCTCCTAAAGAGAATAATCCTTGTGTTGGCCTTTTTTTTAGTAGTTTTATTTCCAGTTCGTCATATGAAGATTCTGGAAATGACGAAAATTCTGTGCTGATAATAGGCAAAAAAAAAACTTTTTATTTGCATAGATTAGCCCGATGAAAGTATTTGAAATTTTATTGAATTTTTTAAATAGTTCATGAAAGAGAATAGCCTGGGACTGATCTACATACTCATATGAGAAGACTTTATTCTTGGTGGACATCTGTTAAATCACACCAAAAAGGCTGAATTTATCGAAAATTCGTCAAAATTTTAGCGAAATTTTTTCGTCACAGATTTATGCCCTGTGATTGGCTGACAATGAAAACACGGTGAAATCACGCGAGCTATTAGTCTGTTGACGCGTTTGAACGTTTGAAATATCCCCCGAGGAATTTGCGTGTGTGCACGCATTTTGTGAAAAGCTCACAGCCTTTGTTAAGTAAAAATTGTTTATTGTAATTCACAATTTGCAGTATATCCTCTGTGCATAGACCGCAGTACTTTCCACCTGCTTTTATGGCGTGCGCTTGAGGTAAGATTGACCATTTGATGTCGTAGTGTTTGCCACTTTCTTTCAGCTTCACAGACGCGTATTTTGTCAATTAGCCTTTCTCACGATGACGAATATGCCGCCATTTTTGGGGTACTTTTAATCAAAACCGCAAGCGAAACCTCGTAACGGCCACAGTCTTTAATTTTAGGCTGGAGTTATTCATCCAATGGTCTGTTGATTCTAAAAAAATTGCTTTTCATGATGTTATTAATTTTAAAACCCGTTTGAAAGAATTGAAAATACCCCAAAACGTCATCGTGAGAAAGGCTAATTCAGTGCTGTTCTCGTATCTGACGTCGTTAAATGACTTCTTGAGGTTTCGGAAGCGTTCTTTGAAAGTTGTCGAGGTCGTTCCGATATAACTTTTAGCTTGTTGACTCTCCGCCGTAATCACATCAGCTTTATACACAATATTATTCATAAGACACTTGTTTTCTAATGGACATTGATCAGGATTTCTGCAGTTGCATTTCTTTTGGTTCCGGTTATTCTTTTCCCAGTCCGATCATTTCGCGCAACAAACACGTTTTGCGCATATATATAAGACGAGAACAAAATACAATAAACTTGGTTTACTTCATATGATTTTATTCACTACAAGTTTCTTTTAACAAGCAGTGCTTGCCACACTCATCACGTGAATTTAAATGTCGTGCAATATAGTTGCCATGGCTATATATATATATATATATATATATATATATATATATATATATATATATATATATATATATATATATATATATATATAAATATATATATATATATATAATCACATACTTGTGCCTTTATCAGGGCGATAACAGGGTGACATAAAAACGATATCGTCACTGATATCGCTTTTTGTCACTGATATCGCTTTTTGTCCCGCTGCATTTGCCGCTGTCAAAACAAAGATGGCTGACTCGGAGTTCGAGGTTTGTTTCAGTCGATGTCGATTGCTTTATAGAAGAAAAAGAAGTATGTGATAAACAGGTTATCACAATCGGGACGAGGTGATATGAGTTTTATCGCTTTCAGGACGATATCATAAATGTCCCTCGTTCGCTGCGCTCACTCGTGAAATTTATGATATCGTCCCTCAAGCGATAAAACTGATATCACCTCGCCCCTCATGTGATAACCTATACATATATATATATATTATAATATTATATATATATATATATATATATTATATATATATATATATATATATATATATATATATATATATATATTTATATCATATATACTATTGACAAGTTTGATTGAAAACAGATTGCATTGTATTAGGTTACATTACTTATTTCTATGTCTGCATTTTGATAAAAGTTCGCTTCATGCTTGAATTAAAAGAACAAAGTTCAGAGTGGTATATTATAATGTGTGCACCTCCCAATTATATCGATGTATCTATAGTTTAGGCCATGACGGCATGCATTGCATATATTCTTATTTCAAAAAAAATTGATCGTAATTGTTCACATCTTCAAAAGAAGGATCATATCAAGAATTTCGTGACATGCTTTTTTATCCATTCTCGCTATTTCTCTGCTTTCTCTCAACTGCCCCCTTGCCACCGTAAGATCGACTTTAGGGTGTGCATCATCCTTCCTAGTTTCTTTGAGCACAGACAAAGCATGCCTATGCCTGCGTTCTTTCCAGTTTAGCCTGATTTTCAAGTCAGCCCACCTCTTCCTTGCCTGTTTCCTTTCTTTGCTCGGGTTATCGTCATCGTCGTCGTCCAGCCAGTTTTCCATTGATCTAAGATAGGCGGTGGATCCCTTCGGTTGATCCGGAATAACAATATCCCAAATCATTTCCTCAAGGATCCATGCGATCTGTCCGAAGACAAGTCTTATTTTTTTGTCTTCCAGCTCCTTCTTGATTGATTGAACCCGCTTTTCTAAATCTTTATTTTCGTTCTCAACTCTCCGAAACGCTTTCGTCAAGTCTTCGCATTTCTTCATGAAACTTTCTTTCACGGACTTTTCCCTTTTGAAATCATCTCGTAGTTTATCTTTCTCTGCTTCTACCTTCTCCAAACGTTTGGTTAGTTCCTGATATTTTTTCTCAATTGTTGAGAACTTATCTTTCGAGATGGTACATTCGTTTTCTAACTCCACTATTTTCCTTAAAAGATCGCTGTTTTCATTTTTCAATTCGTCGATTCTATTGGAGAGATTAACCAAATGCACTACATGTTCCTCTTCATTTGTTTCCTCAAAACCTGTTACTCCATCCAGTTTGATTGTTGCCTCCACTCTGGCTATTTCCTGTTCAGGCTCAAGAGATGGAAATGTGGATCTCCTTTGTGTAGTCGTTTCGTCCCTTGATGAAGAAAAATGTCCCGGGAGACTCTACAATAGGATGGAGTGAGAATTTTAAGAAATGGTGCAATAGAATATAGTGAGAATTTTAAGAATATACTGAGAATTTTAAGAAATGGTGCATGTCGTGCCTCCGTGACAGGTGGAGTCCGCAGCTTCAACCAATTTAACGAGACTTATTTATTCGTATAAAGGTGAAAAATCATGCTCTAACTGTCAACGATTCCCCGATTCCCCCAAATTACTCCAAGTGTGTTCAATCAGTTCAAAATAAAGTCCGTATTTCTCAAGGTTCAGTATATCTTAGCGTACGCGTGTCTTTCTAGCTACTTAGTCAAGCGCGGCTCATTTTATACAAAATATTAGCATATTTAAATCATATTTTAATAGTCCATTAACTAGTCCATGACACAACACTCCTCACCCAAGGACGTTAACAGTATTGCGTCCTTGCATATCTTAATTATAGCTCATGTACTCATTAAAAAGACGAAGTTGCTTATCGACCTCAAGTAGCTCTTTTTTTCTCCGTCTTTCCATGTAATTACTGTGGCTTTTCTTACTTTACCATCTTGGCTTTTGATTGCTTCAGAGACTCTACCCAAGGGCCATTTGTTGCGATGCGTGTTATCTTTGATCATCACGATGTCACCGACTTCTAGGTTACGTCGTTGTTGATTCCACTTTGCTCTTGACTTTAGGTTTTGTAAGTACTCCCTCTTCCATCGTGTCCAAAATTGGTCCGCTAAATATTGAACTCTTCTCCAATGGCGGCGGGAATACAGATCATGGGATGTGAATAAACCAGGTGGTGACGTCAGATGTCTTGATTTCATAGTCAGCAGCATATTTGGGGATAAAGGTTGTGGTTGCTTTGCGTCTGATGGTATAGTCGCAATTGGTCTGGAGTTCACTATGCCGACCACTTCTGCCATAAGTGTAGTTAGTAATTCGTGTGTCAGTTGCCTTGGACCAAGATCGGCAAACATTCCGTCGAGAATTCGTCTAATTGTTAAAATTTGACGCTCCCAGACGCCACCAAAATGTGAAGAATGAGGCGGGTTGAAAATCCATTCACAGTTCTGTTGATTGACGTAGGATGCTATCATGTTCTGATCCATTTCGTTTAAGGACTCGACGAGTTCGGATTTTGCCCCAATAAAGTTTGTACCTCGGTCACATCGAAGGACGGATGGAGGTCCTCGTATGGAGAAGAAGCGTCGGAGGGCGCAGATAAAAGAGTTTGTTTCCATTGTTTCCAGAACCTCGATGTGGATTGTGCGACAATTCAAACAAGTAAAAACTAGTCCCCATCTTTTGGAGTTTACAGCACCTCCTCGTAATTTTCTTGTTTGTATTGTCCACGGTCCGAACACGTCAAATCCGACATTCGTAAAAGGTGGGGGTGTATTTAACCGATCAGCTGGTAGGTCAGCCATAAACTGCGTCATCAATTTCCTTCTAAGTTTCTTGCAAATTAAGCATTCGTTGATGATTTTCGAAATCGTCCTCTTTGCGCCAATGACCCACAGACCTGCGTTTCTAATTGCACCATGAGTTATCTGTCTACCTTGATGATAAACCTTTTCGTGATAATGTTTGATTACCAGTTTTGCTAAATGACTCTTTTTGGGGATGATTGCCGGATTTTTCTCTTCATACATCTGTTCTCCGTGTCTAAGTCGTCCACCAACGCGTAGGATTCCATTACTGTCAATAAATGGATTTAGACGATATAAGCTGGATGTGGCAGGAATACTTGCTGATGGAATCTGTTGAAGGTTTTTGAATTCTGTTGCATATTGTTCTATTTGAACAGTTTTGTTTGTATTTCCTCACTTTGTTTCAGTTCCGCGGCGGTAGGATGTTTTGTAAGATCTGTTGCGTTGAGGAGAAGAGCGTTGGAACGTCGGCTAGATATTGAATCTCGGTTGTTGGTTTTGACACGCTTAATTCGGATGATCAAGTTTGCGATAGCTTTTCGTAGAGACGACAACTTGGAAAACCTTTTGAATCGTTCGGATCCTAGTCCTTGAGTTGTAGAAGGTTTAACTGTAAAACGAGTGACTTGAGTACGAACCTCTGGGTCGTTTGAGCTTACGTCGTACTCCATGGGATCGATTTCAGCTAAGGAAGGTTCAGAAAAACTACTGTTCCTCAGAAAATGTGGTCCAGTGAACCAAATCGAATCCAACAAGTCTTTGGCTGGTTTTCCCCTTGTGGCCATGTCCGCAGGGTTCTCTGATGACTTCACATAATGCCATTGTGAAGGATCCGACCCAGTCCGAATAACTTGAATCTTATTGGCGACATAAACATAGATGCGTTTGCTTTCGTTCTGGAGGTATCCAAGGACTACTTTTGAATCAGTATGGAAGAATATCTCGTCTATCTTTATCTTCAGCTCATGAGTGATCCATTTAACTGCTTTGACTGCGAGGACGGCGGCACAAAGTTCAAGTCTTGGGATCGTTGTTGCTCGTTTTGGTGCCAATTTTGCCTGAGCAAATACCAATGAGACCTTGATTTCTCCAGATTGATTTGTCAACTTTAAGTAGACTGCGATGCCAATTGCAAGATCGCTGCCATCTGAAAAGGCGTGGATCTCTGCTTTCTTTATCTGAGACGTCTTCTCTTGGAGAAAACATCTTGGCACGTAAGTTTCTGCGAGTATCGCGAGTGATTCCTTCCAATTTTGCCATTTTCTTTGTAAGGAAATGGGAAGTGGATCATCCCAACCTAGGGACGGGTTTGCAATTATTGACGTGGTAAGGTGGCGCAATAATAACCTTCCAGTTAAGGTGACTAGAATAGCAAGTCCCAGGGGATCGTAGATAGAATTAATTACTGCTAGGACACCACGCCGAGTGAAAGGCTTCTCGGGTAAAGAAATTCTGAAGGATATGGTATCTTTTTGTAGATTCCAGACTATACCTAAGGAAAGTTGCGATGGTAGAGGATCACGATAAAGATCAAGGTCTCGAAGGCTCTCAGCCCGGTCTTCCAGTGGTATAGCTTCCATCACTTGCGTTGAGTTTGAGGCGATCTTATGTAGACGAAGGTTTGCGGTTGCCAGCATTGACTGTGAGTTCTTAATAAGGTCAATTGCTTCTTTGCTGGTTGAACACGAGGTTAAACCGTCATCAACATAAAAATCATTTTTAACAAATTCTTTGGCGACTTGACCAAATTTCTCCTCACCATCATCAGCTGTCTTTCTAAGACCGAACATCGCGACAGATGGGCTGGAAGTGTTTCCGAACAGGTGCACTGTCATATGATATTCAATAATCTTCTTTGTTTTATCGTTCCCTTCAAACCAGAGAAATCGTAAAAGGTTTCGGTGCGTAGGGCTAACGTAAAAGTTATGGAACATCTGTTCTATGTCGCAGACAACTGCGACGTGGTTTAGCCTGAATCGAATGAGTATTCCGAGAGGATTGTTCAAGATGTCTGGACCTGACAGCAGTTCTTTGTTCAGCGATGAACCTTGGAATTCTGCGGATGAGTCGAACACCACGCGAATCTTGCCTGGTTTCCTCGGATGGTAGACTTCGAAATGAGGAAGATACCAAACCTTCTCGGGATTCGTTACTTCATTCGTGGAATCAATGGATGGCACAGGGACAGCATGACCCCGTTCTAGCAATTTTTCCATAAATTCCAGGTAGTCCTTTTCCATTTTCGGTTTTCTCTTGAATGATTGTAATAAATTGTTCATACGACTTTCTGCTTGTTTTCGGTTGTTTGGAAACTTTACATCCAAGTTGCGAAGAGGCAATGGCATTTCCCAGTTCCCTTTCTCGTTTTTGTGGATTGCTTCGTCCATAAGTGTTAGGAATCGTCGATCTTCGATAGACAAGCTTGGTTCATTATCACGAACTGTAGTCTGGAAAACAACATCTTCTGGTTCATCGTAGCAGTCTTTCACCTCTAACTTATTTGGGCATGATAAATATTCAGTGTACAAGGTTTGGTATGGATGATTAACCTTTGTTTGTGAATGAACTTGAACACCATCCTCAAGTTTATTGGATAAATCGCGGACGACGGTTCGGTGAGTCGTAATGTGAATAGGTCCTCCTTGACGGTTGACACACATTCGACCACATATGGTACAGCCAACAGCCAACCTATGCGCCCACGGAGCTCCTTTCGGCCCATTGCGGACTTCCCTAACTTTCATTATCTCGGGTGCATCACGACCAATTAGTAATTGGACTTCAGCTTCCGATTTTAATGGAGGTAATTTGTCTGCTACTTCACGAAGATGACCGTACCTTCTAACTTGTTCAGGTATTGGGATCTCGCGTTTATCGGAGGGTATATTGTCGCATTCAACTAATCTTGGTAATTTCATTAAAACTCCGTCCGAGGATGTTATTGTTAGTCCAGAGACGCGACGGCCATAGTGGGTTTCTTTTGATGAACTACACGTGGTTAGACAATACTTCTCTTTTGGTCCTTCCAGTCCGAGATCGTCGACGAGCTTTGGAGCAATCAAAGACGCGTTGCTTTGTTCGTCAATCAATGCGTAAACTTTTACTATATTTTGTGGTGTTTTTGGATGAAAAACGTCTAACAGAACGATCTTGCTGCATGAGACCCCTTCAATAGACGTTGGCGAAATGTCCGTGCAGGCTGATTTTACTTCTTCTTTCTCCTCCTCCTTCATTATTTTCTTCTCCATGTGCAGTATCTCGAGGTGGCGATTACTGCCGCACTTCGTACAATTCACTTCTGTTTTGCAGTCTCTTGCTAGATGTTTTTGTGTCAGGCATCGAAAACATAGTCCAGCTCTTTTCAACCAGTCTGTTTTTTCCTGAAGCGTTTTCCGTGCGAACGTTTTGCACTCTGATAGATTATGACCATCGATATCGTGGAATATACAACGTTTCTTGTTTTTCGACTCTTGTGCTTGCCCCATATCTCCTTTTAAGACTTTATAGTGTTGTTTTCCTGCCATGTTCTTGTCTCTTTGTAAGCTATCCGCTAAGGCTGTAACGTTAGGGTGGTTACGCAATTGTGACTGCTTTTCTACTGTGTTCGCAAATACTTCGAACTGTGGGTAGGCGTTGTTATGGCACTTTGCAAATTCAACGACTTTTTTCTCCCAACTATGACGAATTCTCTCTGGTAGAACATTAAGGATTAATCGCATTGCCGTCGGATAATTCAAACATCCAAGCCCGGGGAGTTGGTCAATTTGTGAAGCTACATCGAGACATAGATCCGAGAATGCCTGCAGCTTTTTCTTTTCTTGTTCTCCAAACTTTGCTGATTCTCTCACCATTTTTCTTGCTTCACTTTTTTAGAGTCGGAAATTTCAGCCAATCAGAGCAAAATCGAACCTTGTCAGATAGAAATCTATACCGAGCTGTCTCACGCGCCTCAAAAACAAGCTGTGGAGGGTAAAAATATAGCTGGGGCCCGTTGTATAAAACCTTTTAACTACACTTTGCATAGTTAAATTCTATTTAACTGAGAAATACGCAACTCTGATTGGCCAATTCTGTCCTTAACTACAGCTAAAAGTTAATTTGTCTTTTATACAACTGGCGCCTAAAGTTTATTGTTTCTAAGGAATTTCGAGCTCTTCCTGGCAGTTATTCTTTATCGTTTGACAATTTAAATGGAAAATATTTTCCTTCAAGAGCTGACAAAATCGCGTTACTGCCTGGTGAGTATTGCAGCGAAGCCGTCAAAAGGGACAAGTCTTTTCATTTTCAAAATAAATGTTGGCTAGGCCTGCTACCCCACGGAAAGTTATTTTGTATAAAAGAGACGAAAAGAGGTTTGCATAAAAGCCAGGCCAGACATTGCACAACATATTCGTTCATTTAATAAATATAATGTAGCGGGTTTAGAATCATGAACATAAAGAAAATTTAAAAGTGGAAATACTTACAGAAATAACAAAAATATAGCTTTAGCTAATATCAAATAAAGATAAAGGTGTGTGAAACTGCCTTCTTTATGCGAATAATTTTAGTTATCTTTTTGCCTGTTTGTGCGATAAATGCTACGGAATACCAGACCAAATACACGACTACAAAATCAAATTTCCGTATTTAAAAATCCAAACAAATGAGGCAATTGCTTTTCTAGTATGTTTTTGTCCTCATTGAAGTTCTTTAAAAAGACAAATATTCCATCAATCTTTCACCGTTAATAACAAAAAATACCAAAACAACGCCTGAAATAATGAAATCCTATATTTCTTGCTGCATTCGCTGGAATTTGCTTTGAAAATATAAATAACAAAACGCGCGCACTGATCTCTGGTATAGATTTCTATTTGCTTGAAAATAATGTTTGGCGAGCTTGGAGTGAGATCACCTGGATTAGGAGCAAGTCCTCCAGGAATTTTTATATAGCTCAGTGGTTTACATACGGACTTAACTTCCTTTAAGGTCGCGGTTTTTTGCCTACCTAAAAAGAAACAGGTGCACAAGCGTACATGTATCTGCTCACAACAATCTATTTTTTACCGCTATATATTTTCCGCTATAGGAAATATGCTTAGTAATATGTAGTAATTTCAGTCATGATAGTAATATAGACGTGGGAACTCAAAGTGTGTAAGTGTTCTGCCTGCATTGACACTATGCTTCTACCATAATTGGTCACAACAGGTGCAAATATAAAGAGGACTTTGTGACACAACAGCATGAAAACTGGATATTAAACTTTGTACTGATTTAAACTCATAACGTTTTTGTTTCCTATATTCCTTTGCATACATTTTTTTGCTCAGCCTCAGTGCTCTGTTTTGAGAGCTGGGAGCTTTCACTGGCTTGTTTGCATCTGCTATATTCCCTTGCATATGCTCTTCACTTTTGTTTAGCCTCAGGGCTCTGTGTTTCATTAGCTCGTTTTTCCTTCATGTATTTTTTCATATATTCTGTTCTTGTTTGCTTAGGCTGAGAGCTTTGATTTGACTGTTCAGGATTTATCTCAGCAAAATCTGACATTGAAATACATGGCAAAGTTGATACCTAATGATACTCATCTATATGACCTAAATAAATATCTCTAAGTTGATCTGTTGGTGAAACAGGACTAAGGTTTCTTTCAATATCTCCTGACAATATTAGTTTCCTTTGAGATATGTGATATTGTTTACTAGCAATATTGCCTGCTATCTTTTGCTGTATAAAACATTACAAGATGATTTTTCTTACTACATAAATGTTTTTCTACAAAGTTGACAAAAGACTTTTAATATCCGAATGAATTGATAAAAATATGTCGCATTGGCACAAATTGAAAACGACATTGCTTGAAATTACGCACTATCTTATTTAAAAAGGATGACCTAGGGGCATTTCTTACAAAATAATGCTTTAAAATTGATCTACTTCCTCTCTTTTTCATAGCCAGTATTATTCTCTTAAAAGCCAATCTGGAAGGTGCACGGTCTCTAGATCGCTTGGTATTTGTCTGCTTTGTCAATTTCCGTACAGTTGGTCGGCAGCGACAACAGCAGCTACGCGTATAAAGATCTGAATTTATACACCTAACACAGCTACTATCTATACGATATAAATGTTAAATGTTTTGCTGGTGAATTTCTTTAGATTTCGTTAATCGTTTCAGAAGAGACTGTTTAGATCTCCGTAGAGATTGTTTTGATCTCCGAAGAGATTGTTTTGATCTCCGAAGAGATTGTCTCGATCTCCGAAGAGATTGTTTTGATCCCCGCAGAGATTGTTTTGATCTCCGAAGACATTGTTTTGATCTCCGAAGACATTGTTTTGATCTCCGATGAGACTGTTTTGATCTCCGAAGTGATTGTCTCGATCTCCGAAGAAATTGTTTTGATCTCCGAAAAGATTGTCTCGATCCCGGAAGAGATTGCTTTGATCTCCAAAGAAATTGTTTTGATCTTCGAAGAGATTGTTTTGATCTCCGAAGAGATTGTCTCGATCTCCGAAGAGATTGTCTCAATCTCCGAAGAGATTGTTTTGATCTCTGAAGAGACTGTTTTGATCTCTGAAGAGAGTGTTTTGATCTCCGAAGAGATTGTCTCGATCTCCGAAGAGATTGTTTTGATCTCCGAAGAGATTGTTTTGATCTCTGAAGAGACTGTTTTGATCTCTGAAGAGATTGTTTTGACCTCCGAAGAGATTGTCTCGATCTCCGAAGAAATTGTTTTGATCTTCGAAGAGATTGTTTTGATCTGTGAAGAGATTGTCTCAATCTCTGAAGAGACTGTTTTAATCTCCGAAGAGATTGTCTCGATCTCCGAAGAAATTGTTTTGATCTTCGAAGAGATTGTTTTGATCTGTGAAGAGATTGTTTTGATCTTCGAAGGGATTGTTTTGATCTCCCAAGAGATTGTTTTGATCTCCGAAGAGATTCATTTGTTTTGATCTCGAAAAGATTGACTACATACCTCATTAGGATAAGTTTCCATGTTCAGATAAACTTCGATAAAAAAACACAGATTCTTTGAAGCCAAAATTTCAATGACAAGTCACGAATATGCCTGTTTAGGCACAGAATAAATAATAGATGTAATTAAAGTGCCCCTGACACAAAATGCGATTTTTACATCATGGAATGTACGCATTTGTCCGAGAGTTATGGTTAAAGAATTTTTCGATTTTATAAAAGCGAAGCCGCCGTCGTAACAGAACACTGGAACTAGCGATTTTCGTGACGTCACGCAAGTGAGTCGCAGCAAACTCACAGTGTATTTCCTAGGGGCTAAGGTTTTGTACTTCTTTTAATACGCAGTATTTCAAATATTGTCGACCGCAGGATCCAATTTTTAAACTAGCTATTAGGAAGCGCGGTTTGAAGCGCGGTGTGTTAATGTTGCAAAAAGCCTCTAGATGACTAACGCCTGTATTCTAAAAGCTCACTCACACTCAAACTCATTGAGTGGGAGATCTTAATCTTCTCATAACGTTTCAATGGCGGTATTTTTAACCGAACAGGGGCTTGATTTACAGTGATTTACCTTATATCTTTTCATCTATTCAGAGAGAACTTTCTCATTGATCAGCATTAACAAAATTTATATGTCACACTCGATGAGTATGAGTGTGAGTGAGCTTTTTGAATACAGGCGTAAGAATGGTCAGAAACCTATCAAAAGGCACAGAGGGGACTCATAACAAACTGCGTATAATGTTTGCAATGATCGGTAGACGAGTAATATATAGCGAATAGAAAGTGATCACAGATGCGACCTAGAGTCAACTGTCGCGACATGCCGATTTTTTAATATACTGATTTTTATCGCGATATGTTGACTTTTGTCCTTATAGGTGAAAGTGCGGAACCGATCGATCTCTCACTAAGCGAAATGTCTGCATGTTTATACTTTTGCAGATAGATAAATAACATTTCCGAAATATTTGACAGGATAAACATGCATTTATTATTGTGTTCGCAGAGTTTTATCAAACCAGCACGACGTGGCGTATGCATACGTTTGTTTCGCGCCACAGTGACGAATCTCTACTGCTCTAATTTCCACAGTTTCCAAACAGGGATGGTAATTATAGTCTCGTTTTAATAAACAAAGTCAGAGCCGTATGTAAACCCATAGGCAGCCGAAAGCTAGTTGTTTTATCACTATATTCAAATTGATTTTTATTTGCTTAAAACTTAATATTAATTACGTATCGTAAAAGTCGTTTTATGGATTTGAAATAATTTTTTTAGAATGACGAATATGTTTAAATCAGAAAAATCTCACTTGTTAACTTGTTAGATTTTACTTTGTTATATGATGTTCACTTTAGGTTTTGCTCTACTCGATCGATGCAATGTTTCGTGTGACAACATAGTCTAGTGCGGTATTAAACGTATTTGTACACTGTCTGTCTGTCACTGCAGTGCACTTTTCTACGTTTCACAGTGTTATATGGCCATATACTCATACTTATAAACAAGCATATACTTATTATAAGTATATAAGTATTACTTATACTATACAGGGTGTCTCAAAAA